CCATGAACTGAGAAAAGTCAAGCGTGCAGCTGCCAAGATGCCACTTGCCACCAGTTTGGCCATATTTCAGAGCTGCAACATCACTGGAGTGCCCAAAAGCACAAGGTGTGCAATACTCAGAGACATGGCCAAGGTAAGAAAGGCTGAAAGACGACCACCACTGAACAAGACACACAAGCTGAAACGTCAAGACTGGGCCAAGAAATATCTCAAGACTGATTTTTCTAAGGTTTTATGGACTGATGAAATGAGAGTGAGTCTTGATGGGCCAGATGGATGGGCCCGTGGCTGGATTGGTAAAGGGCAGAGAGCTCCAGTCCGACTCAGACGCCAGCAAGGTGGAGGTGGAGTACTGGTTTGGGCTGGTATCATCAAAGATGAGCTTGTGGGGCCTTTTCGGGTTGAGGATGGAGTCAAGCTCAACTCCCAGTCCTACTGCCAGTTTCTGGAAGACACCTTCTTCAAGCAGTGGTACAGGAAGAAGTCTGCATCCTTCAAGAAAAACATGATTTTCATGCAGGACAATGCTCCATCACACGCGTCCAAGTACTCCACAGCGTGGCTGGCAAGAAAGAGTATAAAAGAAGAAAAACTAATGACATGGCCTCCTTGTTCACCTGATCTGAACCCCATTGAGAACCTGTGGTCCATCATCAAATGTGAGATTTACAAGGAGGGAAAACAGTACACCTCTCTGAACAGTGTCTGGGAGGCTGTGGTTGCTGCTGCACGCAAGGTTGATGGTGAACAGATCAAAACACTGACAGAATCCATGGATGGCAGGCTTTTGAGTGTCCTTGCAAAGAAAGGTGGCTATATTGGTCGCTGATTTGTTTGTTTTGTTTTTGAATGTCAGAAATGTATATTTGTGAATGTGGAGATGTTATATTGGTTTCACTGGTAAAAATAAATAATTGTAATGGGTATATATTTGTTTTTTGTTAAGTTGCCTAATAATTATGCACAGTAATAGTCACCTGCACACACAGATATCCCCCTAAAATAGCTAAAACTACAAACAAATAAAAAACTACTTCCAAAAACATTCAGCTTTAATATTAATGAGTTTTTTGGGTTCATTGAGAACATGGTTGTTGTTCAATAATAAAATTATTCCTCAAAAATACAACTTGCCTAATAATTCTGCACTCCCTGTATGTATTCAAGCATCACTATGGCTTAGAGACAACCTGGTTTAAAAAAAAGAGGCTGTTCCTTTTCTTCTACCTCACTATGACGGGACAAAATTAACACTGTTACAGCTTTTGTTGTTTTCATACCAATTTACTGTTGCTGTGGGAGTTATATGAGTTGTGAAGCAGGTGAAGAAGCTATTTACAGCGTTGCTGTTAATCACATTCACACAGTTATTGAAAGACAGGAATGCCTGTGAGACTTGATTTGGATTTTCTTTTTTTGCTTCAGGCTGTCCTTAAGTCAGGGGTCTGCAACCTTTAACACCAAAGAGCCATTTGGACCCGGTTTCCACGCAAAAGAAAACACTGAGAGCTGCAAATACTTTGTGACATCTAGAATGAAGATAACACTGTATATATTGTTTTTTATCTTTATGCTTTGTGTGAACAACTAAGGTGTGTTGCTTATGAAATCCATGAAGTGTTGCAGAGAAAATTACATTTTTATTTATGTAATTAACACATTTTGAACTCTTAAAGAAATATAACAAAAGGAAAGACACCCAGCTGAACTAAAATGATCCAGCAAACAAAAGCTGCTGTGAGCCGCCACCCTTATATCGCCTTTGTGCTTTTGGAGCCTTGACCTGACTTTTAAAAAATTATTGGAAAAAAAGCTCTATGCTGCTGAAAGATGAAAAATAGATATTTGCAAAATTCTGCCTAAATATGTATTTTACTTGGTTAATGTGTGTGGCGGGGCGTGGTCTGCAGCGCCGCTGCAGGGGAGGCGACGCACCTGAGCAGCACCCGCGATCACGCCTCGCCGCCTTAAAGTCTGTGCTCTCTCTGCTGTTGTGTTGTCGGGCTGTGAACTGAAAAGCTACAGCCGGCTGTGTGCGTACAGCAACCGTGTGTGAAAAGTGGTCAATAAAGAGATGCTAAAAAGCGTGTTCATGCAAACATCGTCGGGTCTGCCGTGATAAGTTTACAACGGGACTTCTGCTCCTGAACCTCTGCGCACAGTGGCTGCAAATCGGGGCTGTAAGAAGTCACTTTCATCTTTACGCAGGACTGTAAGCTGTCATCTGTGAGGCGTGAGTGGTGTTTGTTTTAACATAGTTCATGGTGGAGCTGCTGACATAATGTGGATCCGAAGATCCATAACTGGCCTACCTGGGGCTGAAAGTCTCGATAAATGCACGGCGTTTCGGCGGGTACACCGGCTTCCGCGAGTTTGAAGCTTATTTTGAGCGATGAAAAAAATAATAGAATATAATTTTATTTTTTTATTTCAATATCACAATAATCTTCCAATTTAGAAGGTTTAAAAAAGAACATAAATAAAATACACTTCAGCTAAATACTTCTAATTTATTTTCCCAAACCACGCGGAGCCGCACTCTAAGGACTAAAGAGCCGCAAGCAATTATCAAATAAATCATTGAATTACATCAAGTTTTACTCTGGAATAGACCAAGAAACCTGAAGTAAATGATAAATAATTTCAACTGCTTGTCAAAGAACAAAAAATGCATAAAAAAATGAACAACTGCATTCCCGGATACTAACAGAGTTCACCTGCATGTGATATCAATGCTTTATAACATACTGCAAACAGTGATGACTGCAGCATCACCAGCATGTGCTCCCGACCTCATGTTGTAGCTTTTGGTTGTTTACAGAAAACTCAGAAAGCTACTGTTTGTGGGTCTGACTATAAAGGCAAAGTCAAACATACTAACAACGTTGGTTAGTAACTACTATAAGATGAGAGCCAATCGTTTACATGGAAGAAGAAGTTGGTCAAATCAGCCTCTCGCCGTCTCTCAGACTGACATGACCTTTTCTTTTCTCTTGGTTCAGGCTGCCATTGTGTTTTTGTTATCATCAGCTGACATAGTAAACGAGTTACTGGGGTCGGTTTGTAAGGCAGCTCTAAGAAAAGAATAAGAGTTTAAGAGTTGCTATGTCAACAGCAAGTCATATTTACTATAGAGCTATTTATCCATCTGGATTGTTTTGGTGTGACGTTCCCAGTTTTTGAGCCATCAGCCATATAAAGGTCTACTTTTGCTTGTATATGATGAAACTAAATGGTACTTACCCTGTGGTTCTCAAAACACTAAAAATACATAAAAAAAAAAAAAGCAGTTTTAAAAATATCTGTAAAAATCATGTCCTTCTCACCACAAGAAGGAAAAAAAGGATCCAGCAACGTCAGATCTCTTTCTGCTGCCTGCCAATTAAAAGAAGTGCGCGACTAGCTAACATGAAAGCTCAGCTGACGGGGGGTCTCTACAATGTTAAAATCTTGCCCTGCTGTCAATTATGTGAGCGTCTCATCATCAGTGGATGAATACTTCCTCCTGACACAGTCGGTGGGTATGGTTTGATAGACAGAAAAATGAAACTGATCAATGTCTGGGGAGAAATGTCTACATGTCTACAGCTGACATCACTGAAATGTTGAACAGCAGGGGTATTCAATTAAAAAGTAAGGAGGTCCGGTTAGAGAAAACAAAGATCCAGAATATCAAAGTTCCATATATGTCATAGTTTAATGCAATACATTTACACTTAGCCTTACAGTTAAATCAATGTCTGTGAAATAAAATAAATACAGTCAATTAATCAACATTTTAACTGTGTTTTAACAGTGTTTATTAAAATGTTCACAACGACCTGGAGGGCACTCTAATAATAAAATAGATATGATAAACAGACAAATGTCTCGTAATTATTTTATGGTTCAGGCTTTCTGGAGTTAAAGCCCTTAAACCTTGTATGTGGTAACCAGAGATGGGCAGTAACGCGTTACTTGTAACGCGTTACTGTAATCTGATTACTTTTTTCAAGTAACGAGTAAAGTAAGGGATTACTATTGCAAAAACAGTAATTAGATTACCGTTACTTTCCCGTAGGAAAGCTGAGTTACTGCGTTACTAAAACCGTGATTTTTTGCGAGAATGTCTCATGACAGTGACGTAAGCAAGTGCAACGTTCGTGACAACAGCTGTGTGCAGATCAACAATGGATCATATATCGAGTGCGGGAGAGAGTATGAGCGTGCAGCGTTTAAAGCGTGGAAGTACTGACCTTACTGTGAGTTTGATTCCATAAAAAGTGACAAAAACATTAGCGTCCGCTGTGCGTGGGAAGAAAACTTCTTTTTACAGGGAAAAAAAACCCCTAAACAAGCACCGAGTGCGCAACCACGTAATGGGAAATTCACAGAGAAACTCGCGGATTCTTCAACTGACCGCGGCACACCTGCACCAGGGTAAACCTACGCCTACCCTACTCCTGCTTTACAGGTGAAAATAGAGCAACAGGACCGCTGAGTCTTTGATGTTATTTATTTTCTGCTGTGTTTTACTTGCATCTATTTGAAAGAGTGAGTGTAAACACAAAAAATATTTTATTTTATGTGCTGGAATGTGCAGAAAATAGGTTTAAATGTTAAACTAATTTCTTCCAGTCAGAGAATGTTGCATATAATTAAATGTTTGCTTGATGCATAAAGTTAAAAGATTAAAACTAACAAAACAAGTTTAAAAAAAAAGAGACTTTTCCATTTGATTACATTTTGTATGATGGATTATGCAGAAAAAGTAAAATTAGGCTGAAAGATCTATCGCTTTATCACCTCATCATGTTTTTAAAAAGTAACTAAGTAACTAAGTAATTAATTACTTTTGAAAATAAGTAACCAGCAAAGTAACGGGATTACTTTTTTGCGGAAGTAATCAGTTTTTAGTTACTGATTACTTTTTTCAAGTAACTTGACCAACACTGGCGGTAACCTTACAAAACCAAAACAGGCCGGACCCTCACGTGTCAGTGTCCGCATGTGTGCGTTACCTGCTCCAGCAGGTCTTCGACCTTCCTCTGCCAGCCCTCCCTCGCTGCCATCATCTCCAGCTCTTTTTGCTGGGAGAGCTGAGTCATGGCCGCCTGTTTGTCTGCTTCATACTCCTCGGTCAACTCCTCCTTTAGCAAACGCACTTCTTCCCTACAGAAAGACACAAAGTTTGACTAAATTAATTACATTGTACATTCAGTGTGCGTGTGTGTTCACGCTGCTCGGTTTTGTCCTGCTAAAAGACATCTGTAAATATTGCATGCGTTTATAAACTTGCTTCCGACTGTGTTCATTTCCTATTCGTTCTCATCAATATACATGAGTGTTTTGGGGAGACGCCGACTTGTTGGGATAATAAGTGTGATTGTGAAGAGGGCTGTGAGATGACAGAGACGAATGAGAAAAGACATCAGGGGAGATGGGCTTCCTGTTTTTCTCTCTTTTACCGCAGTGCATCTCTCCATTTCCGATCCAAGTCATCTGCCATCTTGTCCATCTTCTGCTTCTCCTCTGTTCTGATGGACATCACTCTGGCCTCATGCTGCTGCTTCTGGGTTTCAATCTCTTCCTGCAAATACAAAGCGGTGCACAAATTTGAACTCCAACAGAAATCACACAGTATCAGTATTCCTGATATTTTCTTTTGCTATCTTAGTCTGAAATCAGCAATTGAGTTGGTAAGAAACATCTGCACTGTTTATGAGTTGCACATTTGAGGAGACATCATGTTTTATTGTATCACCGCCACAGATAATACATATTAAACCCATAGCAGGCTGAGCTCAGACTTCATTTTGGGGAAATCAAATGAACACCCCCCCAAAAAAGCGTTTACCAAATAAATTATATATGTAAGCATCTCAAGATTATAAAATTTAACTCATTCTCAACATAAACAGATCTGATATTTAGATTTTCAATTTATGGTAATTTTATCTCAGGGCCTCGTTTAATGATTTTGTTTTTTACAGCTAAACAAAAACTGCTGCTGCTAACAGCATGAAGTGCCACCTTCAGTCTTGGAATATGTGACCTCTTCCACTAATAACTGCATCCCAGTCCCAGTCCCTAACCCCGGTGTGCAAGACGACTCAGTTTCACAGCTTGTGTTTGAGTTCTTTGCAGGTCGGCAAATAAACAAAAACAAAACAAAAAAATTGCAATATTGTATCAATACAGGAAAACAACAAATATATATTTTTTAAATAAATTAAAGAACTCTGAGATTACTGCGAACAAGAGTGCTCATCTCCTCATGCATCCATCCTGAGATAATGGTAGCCGAGAAAACTTGATGATAAACTGATCAACTGGACACACTGACCGGTAGCTTGGCAAAGCTGCCTCCTAATTCAGAGCATAAATGAGCTGAATGAGCCTTTGTCAATAAGCACAACTTGAAGGGACTGTATTCTGGTTATATTCCTATAGGACAGGAAGACTGATGAGCACAAATGTAATAATTGAATGTGAATTTGTAATTATAATTGTCAACCTGACCCCATTCAATCATAGTGTGACATCAGACTGACTGTCTTGTGGCAGATTCTAGTAACAGTATTGGTTCGTTTGACATAATTTTAGGCCCCAATCAATAAATATGTAAAAAAAAAAGACTTTCAGAGTAAAATCTATAATAATGCAGGCAGGTAATATCTAAAATAACCTTGGTGTTTTTAAAGTGCTGATGCCCTAATAGTGTAAGTTTAAAGCCGCATAAAGTAAAAAAGTGCATTTTCTTTTTTCTCCAAGTCTGCATCTCTGACCAGATGCCATATTTCAATAGCTGAAGCTGGATGACTCATACTGTAATGCCCACTTCCACATGCATATATAATGCCATGGCTACAGGGCATTTATAATGTGCTGGTTTCAAGGCAGAAACAAACTTCACCGGGTCAGCTGTTTCCAGCTGCTGAAGAGGCTGCAGGCTGTAAGTGCTGATGAGCTCATTAGAAGAGCTAAAAGCTCTCTTGTTTAGCTGCAAGGGGAAGCACATGAGTGGTTAAATCCACTGTGAGGACAATTTACATTTCTGGGAATCTAAATAAGATTTAAAAAAAAATCTGTGCTTTTAGATTTCTCACAAGTGGAGATGATTTTTGGAGGAGCAATGCAGGAAGAAACATATGACCAGTTGGATTTGAGTGTTTGTGACTCTTACTAGCTACTGTTCATTATTTAAAAGCCTTTTTTAGGAACAGTTCACAGGTTATCTGGGGACTAGATATTTATAGTAATAAAGATATATGCTTCAGTAAGCCACAGTGGGCTGGATTTCTCTCAAAAAGCGACCGATGGGCTCAACGGCAAATTAAGAAAAGAACAAAAAAAAAAACCACAGACATGACTCATGTTTCACTTGTTACTTTATTCTAAACAGTCTGTATTTGTTTCATTATACTTTCACTTGAATAATTATAATTCTGAATCATTCATTTCTGATAAATCAGAGACTATAGTAAAGGCTTACCCACCTACATTAAAGCTAACTGTGAGTAACCATCGCCTTGTTCAGTTTCCGTCATATTTTAGCTGCTTATAGACAAAATGACTGGATTTGCATCAGAGGTTAGTGAGGGTGGTGCAGTTCACTCCAGCATGTGGGGCCCTTCAAAGTGTCGCAAGATAAATCTTGCACTACAAATGTACATCTATATTTATATGTTGTTAAGAATAAAAATAAATTTAAATGAGTCTATATAACAAGAAAATGTAAAGCTGAGGTTAAAACTATTAGCCCCCTTATGAATTTCTTTTTTTAACAGAGCATTTATAAACATTTCTGCACACAATAGAAGAATTTTTTCAGAAAAAAATCAAAATGACAAAGCTTAATATTAAAAGCGGACCTTTTTAAGTGAGCCATAGCACAAACTACTGTTCTACTTGAACTCTGTGATGCTTAAACCTCATAAAATCAAATAAAAAAAGACTCTGGAAAGAAAAATAGCCTTCAAGCCAGACTGAAGTATGCTAAAGATGACCAGGAGACTATTCATACTGGAAGCATGTCCTTTGGTCAGATGAGATTAAACTAGAACTGGGAATCTCATCAAGGTGGAAGGAACAATGAAAAACGAAGGATGTGTGAAGATTCTGAAAGTCGGGAGCAAAGCTGGGTCTGTGCCGTCGCTTTGTCTTCAACATGACAAAGACCAAAGTGAATGTTACTGACTGTCCTGCACAAACCCCTGACTTAACTGCCACTGACCACCTAATCTGGAGGAGTTTGAGAGATTCACTAAAGAAAAATGGGCTAAGACTGATCAGGAGGCATGTGTGAGACTTGCTGAAAACAAACGTTCAGATTCTTTGTGCAAAGTGTAATAGTGTAAGCATCCAAAATAAAACCAGCATGTTTGCAATCGCTGTGTCAAATACTGGAAAAAAAACATGAAATTAGTTTGTTTTTGTGGAACTTCTAACAACACATCGAAAGCACGAAACATGCTCAAGTACTCATGACTTAACAACAGGCTGCTTGTCTGAGGAACACATGATGTAATCTCTACAATGACATCATAGTTTATAACATTTTTTTTTTAATTTTGTGAACTTTCTGTATTTAAGGTAGAAATAAAACATGAGTATAAATGAAACCATCTCTCGTTCTACTTTTCCTAACCTAGTAATCTACTTAAAGGTTCATTCTGTGCTAAACAATAGCTGGTCTAAATTTACTGTGAGGCCGGCCTCTGCTGGTGTTGAGCTTGTGTCTATGCTAATGAGCTCAGTGTGAACACAGGATACAATCCTGTGTCAAGCTTGGCTTTTTTACTGCCCCAGTCCTGCTCTTTAAATAGCCCTTTAAATAAGAAGCCTGGTGGGAATTCAAAGAGCACCATTCTGCAGTTTCATTTAATTATCGCTCTTCTTATAGCCTCTCTGCACTGTGCTTCTTATTAACTCTTCTTTCTGCCTTTATTAACAGTTGTTTTAATTCCTGTTACTGAAGCTAAGACATTTCCACACTTTTTCTGTCCCTTTCTGCATTTTTGTTCTACTTTAAACCTTTTTATTGTACAGTCCTATGATGATTCAGCCTTCCCAAATTCTCATTTGATGACTTATTATCATGAATAAGTTCCTTTAAATACAAATATCATCCCTATTATTAATAACAGTATTAATAGCTATAATTTTAATGAAAGGATCGAGTCGCTCCCTCCTCCTCCTCCCCTGCCACAGTAAGCCACGCTCTCTATCACAAACGCTCTTCCTGCGTCTCACACCAGCAGGGCTCTTTTCAAACATAGGCCCACTCTGCTCATAATGGCCTCATCATCATTATCTCACAGCTGGCCTTCAGCACCGCGCTTGTTTCTCAGTTAACTCTCATTTCCTGCTCTCCTGCTTTCAAAATGTTCTTCCCCTCTCCCATCCTTCTATCCTCCGATCCTTGCCTGTGTCCCCCCCCTCTCTGTCTCTCTCTATTCGGTCATCAGTGAAGGCTTTTTTTTTAATCACCACATTTATTTGACTGACTGAGCTGTTATTGTCAGACTATGAGACAGGCTGTCACACTGACTTACTATGTCAGGAGGCAAATTACCATCTGCCAGTCTCAGTGTCGGGTCTGAAAACTCTTGACTGGTTGACCCAACCTGTCAAGACTTTTGCAAAGGTTACTTCAATTCAGTAAAATCTGAGTCCCAGAAAGTTGGTAAAATAAAAGCTGGGATTTAATCCATTAAGTTTAAGTGACTGAGTGTGTGTAACAAGGTGCATTAGACAAAAAAACAAGAGCCAGAAACTAACAGCTCTAAGTTTATCCTTGGGGAGCGACGGTTTAGCTCACTGGAATGAGCAGGCGACCATATGCCCCACGGCTGAGAGCGGCCGGCCAGGGTTAGAGTCTGATACGCGGTCCTTTGCCACATGTCTTCCCCTCTCTCTTTCCGCCACTTTCCTGTCAGTCTTCACTGTCCCTATCAAAAATAAAGCCATAAAAAGTCCTCTTCCAGTCCCTAAAAGCCCACTCTCTTTTGATTGGCCATCTTCTGGAAGCCCACTGAGGGGCAATGACCTTATAAGGAAATCTGATTCAGAAAGAAAACAGACTAGAAAGCTATCAGTGGCTTACTTTTACATTAATTTTATGCTTATACAAATGTTTACTTCAGTATTTGCACCTTTAATACTTTCAACACTTTCTACAAAACAAAACAAAGACGATAGAATTTGCATATTCTCAGCTGCAGTTTAACGCTCTGTTCATTTGTCTAGATCTGAATATCTGAGTGTGACACTGATAACCAATCTGTGTAATTTGACACTCTGTATGTTTACATCTTACAGGATTCTAAAACAAATATTAAGAACTGATCTGTGACTACTGAAGGAAATACAACATTTCCTTCCACTGTTATGCTGACATCCAAATTTACTTCTGTTTCTGTCCCACTGCAGTCTCTGCTTAACTGTCTACATGATGTTAGAGACCAGTTAACACAAAATTTTCTCACCCTAAAATATAAGGCTGAAGTTATTGTTTTTGGAAGACACGCCCCTTTTGGATAAGTTAACTGATACCTTTGGTCCTCTTGCTCGTCATCATTCCCACACTGTAAGAAATCTCAGAGTGTTTTTAGAAAGCTCTTTTAAATTAGAGAAGCAAGTGTCCACAGTTGTGAAAAACACTTTTTTATCAGTTACCTGAAATTGCCAAAGCTCAGCCTTATCTTCCTCCTAAAGACGCAGAAAAACGTATTCATGCCTTCATCACACTGGACTACTGCAATTCTCTCTGGGTCTTCAGCACTCATGTCTCCATCAGTTAATCTAAAGTGCTGCTGCGCGTCTTCTAACAGGTGTTAGAACGTATGAACACATCACTGCAGTTTTAGCAAATTTACACTTTGTTGCTTATAAATGTGCTATAGAAATAAATGTGATATTGATATTGAAGTGATTATCCTCAGTAAGACTTTATTTTATTGGGGCGTTAATGCAGGAGGACCCTCATTTCAGGTTCTCCAAACCTCAGTACTGTCTTTGTTTTCTCCTCACCTGTAGGTCAGTCAGCAGGTTGCTCGTCTCTCGGACGCGGGCTCGAGTCGCGTCTAGCTCTATCTTGAGTTTCTCCTGAGTTTCCTTCAGACAGGTAATCTGCATCTGAGCTGAATTCAGGTTCTGTTCCCCCTCTCTCACCAGCTCCTGAAGGTGGGACACCTGAGGAGACAACCACTCAGTTGATTGAGACGTGTCGGTATGCATGGAGACGATCAGGTCATGCTGGTCATGCGTTAGCGCTCCAGTAAGAGCTGACTCATACTTCCTGATTGGCCATGTTGAGTTTGGCCGAAAGCTCCTCTTTCAAGTTGTCGAGTTGCTGCTGGAGGCGATCTCTCTGCTCCTCTAATGACAGCCGTTTAATCTCAAACTCCTGGCTCATTTTCTGGAGACGGGAAGAAAGAGAGAGAGGAAGAAAGGAACAAGATTGGATGAAAAGACGGATGAGAAGAGCGGGAAGGATAATAGGACAAGAAATTGGGCAAGTTGATTAGTGCTGGACCATGAAACTAGAGATTTATTCTACATTCTTCCATGTCTAAAATGTCTTTGTGAGACAAATTCTCAATGCATGTTTTCAATATGAAAATGCTTTTTGCCCGTTTTCCTCTGATATAAACTTAAAGTCTCTAAAAAAAATGAGGAGATTTAAAAGCAACTCTATTGAAAATCCAATTTCTGCCACAATGTGGAGTCATGGCAGCGTTTGAGCGTGACGCAGGGCTACTGAATGAGGAAAAGACACGTGAACTGTCATTTACACTTAAAAGGCCATCTCTTCAAAACATCCAGTTTCTATAATCCTTCAAACCAGAGCATCAAATCCTTTCTGGGCCACTCTGGATTTCTCTTATGAAAATCTCCTTTTGATCTACTTCTTAAGTCTCTCTTTTCAGTAAATTGCTGAGATCCTTACTGTCTATGCTTTATGATACACCTAAACAATACTGAGCTCTGTTTGTACTAACAGTGCTGAGCAACAGGTTTCTGGTTGTTCGTTCTTTGCAGATACTATTATTTTACTGTAAAGGTGAATTTAGAATATTTTCTGGATCTTCTGATCATCTGATGTTCGTTACAGGCGAATACAAAAAGAGGGCACGTACATCTACTTATTCAGCTGTGCAATTGCCTTACCAGTGATCAATAAGGGTTCAGTCATTAGTGTCTAATTTGCAGCTATTATTTATCATCTTGACATCCCCGTTGGGTTGAGGCAAGTTGTATCCATCAGAATCTCTTCAATGACGTGAGCAAAATACAAAGCAACCCCCCTTTTAATCTTTCCCACATGGGAGCCACCCAGTAATCCACATCCTCTTTCTTTAACCCACTCACAGGAGAGCCACCTTTCCCATGCAGCTTTAGAGCCACAAGATTAAAATTAAATCAGAGCTTGTACTCTTGTAGCCCCGACTCACAGATTTGAATTAGGTGAGAAGCACAAACTCTTGGAAGGGAAAAAAAGCCAAGCAAACAAATAAAACCTGCAGCATTACATCACACCACCACGCAAGTGCAAGTCTTCAGCCAATAAATATTTAGATCACGTCTCAGAAGAAGTGAAACAAAGACATGTGAACAAACTGAAAGCTTTGAGAACTTAGAAATGATTTATAGCGCGAGACGCAGCATTTCAATCATTCAACTCTCTGCCAGAGATCCACCTCAGCGATGTGTCAAACATCACCTGCAGAGTCATACATCGCTGACACCACGGCAGGATGAAAGTGTATAAAAGTAGAGCTGGTTAAGAGTATTTTTTACCTGGATGGGGCAATAATTCTATCAATCGGCAGGTCAAGGACAAGAAACCCTTCACTTTTAAATGAATAGTGAGGGCTGCTTAGCTTATGTCACCTAGTTATATGATATTGATTCACATGTTGTTGAGAGCGGGATCGTCTCCAACTCCCTGGATTTCTTACATGGTTAAGATGGAAAACTGGTGGATGGACCTCACTGTGGCCACTGCACTGTTGCTGGAACTTGTAATGTCTTCATACTCTTTGTTTTGATAATGTACAGGGGTTTTAAACAAACTGAATGGGCAACAGTTATGCCGGCCCACGCCAGCTGATGGCTCGTCCTACTGATGATCTCATATAGGATTGCAATATTTAAGCTTCTTTAGCCCGCCTAGAGTTGCTGCACATCCACAAGCTGCTTTGCAATCCAGCACCACCTTCCACAGAGTGCTTCACTCAATCCATGTCAAATCTTGTGTTACTGCTCTGGTCTGTGAGGGGTCTTCCTCACCCGTACGCACGCGTATAGTGTTTGTGTTGAAATGACTGCAAGTGGAAATGAAATCGTCTTTGACTACAGCGATCCTTGCCTCAGTTAAACATATTCAAGTTTCACAAATAGAAAAGAGAACACGAAATTTGATTAAGGACATTTTTACGATTGTTTAAAAACCAAACAATTCATCTAGAACTATGGTGTCAAAATACGGTGGCCCTGAAAAGACTCCAGTCCGGCCTATTTCCATCTTTGGAAATGTTCCCTTTGTAAAGGAGGGCAAAAATACTGGACTTTTAATTACATTTTCATAAATTTTACAGCTTTTCCTGCTGATAAAGACCACCGCTAGAGCCATCATACGACACTAAAGTAATGACGTAATAGAAAAAAGTTCCTGTTTTTTTAAATATCGGCTATAAAAATGTGTTTTTTTATTTTTTATTTTTTTACAATGTAGAGTCAAATAAATAAATAAATGAATAAATAAAAACTTTCTGCTTTATAATTCCAAAACTGTGGAGGTGATGTGCTGCCACAAATCATTTATAATTCTATACATTTCTTACTAGAGCAGGGCGATATTTATCACGATATAGATTTGAAAATTTGCGATAACGATATAACTGACGATATAATTGACACTAGACAAAAACTTTACAACTCCACAAGTTTATTAGTGCAAAAAAAATCAATGTATTTTCACTTAAACAAGCAGCTGTTTTTTTATGTGCATTAAAGTTATATAAAAATTTAACAGTGCAAATTCCTTGCTGACAGTTTGACCAAAAGACATTTCCAGTGGAAATTGGCCGGCATATCCTCAGCATAACCACAAAACTTTAAAAGAGGTTAAACAAACACACAATACGGTAATATTATGTTGAAGCACAGTACGTATCACTACGCGAGGCTCCTGACTACGGTAGCCGTAATGCTCCAACAATCCATCAAGCGGTGCGGCTTCGTAGCTCAGCAAAGTCGTACTAAAACATTTGACAGATTTTCGAGCGCCGTGTACATAAAATCGTTTCGAGGTCAGTAAACACAACCAGAATTTAAACATAAGGCAGACAGGATTATAAGGGGCACTGTTGATTTTCAGAAAAATCAAAGGATTGATTTTAAGTGTGCCGTATTTTCCAAACAACACGGTAATAACGACGGCCCGCTAGCATGCGCCACCAAAAATAGTGCTTTGTTGTGTATCTGACGGACGAAAGCCAAACCAGTTCAACACCACTGAAGCTGCAGCATTTTCACAAACCAATTCTGGTTCATCCGTTTCATTTAACGATCCGCTTTCGCCCTTCTCATTCTGCGTTGCCGCCATGTATGTATGTAAACAAAGGCACTGCGCATGTACGTTTTACCCATATTCTATCGCGATATTTCATTTTCTTGTCGTTGCCCAACATTATACCGGTATTACCGTGAACGGTATGATATGGCCCAGCCCTATTTCTTACAAGATCTGTCTTTACTGATAGACAGAATTCTCTAACTACAGCAGCATTTCTTTATTAGAAAAACTGAGACAAGCTGTTGAAACTGCACTTCTCCTTCTTATAATGAGATATCTCAGGGATTAAATGTGTAGTTAAACATCTTCAAAGTGACAGAGAGGGGATTTCCACCTGTCTGACCCACTTAAGCTCAAAACAGGCTCTATGTGGACCTCGATGAATGACTTTGACATCCCCGATCTAGAAAACAATCAGCACAGTAAACAATGCCGAAAGTGACAGTTGGCCGCTTTCGTAAGCTTCAGCTGCTGCCATATTTAAAAGACAACACGGTGCTGACACTGAGTAGAAAGCTGCATCAATGCCAAAAGCCTATCACTTCATTATGGACACTTTCATTTTTGACTGTCCTCTTTAAACTGAGAGAAGCTGCGTTCACCTGCAAACAAACCCATCAGAGGAATGAATCTACATGTGCAGCAGTGCAGGGACATTAGAAACACCAATGAAAAGTCTTTATTCTACTGCTGTCTCATCTGGCCTTAAGTAGACCGTGGTGAATTATGAATTAATACAGCACAAGCAATTTGTAGAGTTAGTCGCTTTATTGCTTCGGTTGAAGAACTCGTTAATATCCGCTGACAGTCGTAAAACTAACAAGTACAAAGATGAAGACGTTTTAGAATATATCGACTTTTTCTTCTTCTTCTTCCAAATGACCACTTCTGTCTCTTTCTTTTCTGTCTGCATCTTTGTCTCACCGTCTCTCGTCCTGCATCCCCTTTTTCATTTCAGCCCAAACAAAAGCAGACATTAATCTAAACGCAGCTTCGACTTACATAATATTTCCCTTTTTCATCAACCCCTCCATCCATTCTCTCCGTCGCTCTGTCTTTCAGGGAATCTATACACACACGCCCACACGCTCATGCACGACTCTCACTTGGCTTAGAGGCAGGATTTAATGTCAATGAAAATCAACCAATTAGCAGTCAGCTTCAAACAGCATCCGAAGTGTGAGCTCACGAGGGGCGAAAAGAAAGGAAAAGAGAGAGAGAGCAACATTATGAAAGAGGAGAAATATGGGACGAGACGGAAGAGAGAAAACACCGAGCGCAAAGTGATTTAAAATGCAGCGTCTAATCGTTTCAGACCAACAAGATACGTCTTCATTTTGGACGGCAGGCTTTAATATTAAAGGAATGACTTTTGAGACAAAGTGTTTTGTGTTACTCTGTGCCAGTCATATATTACACTGCCTTCATGCCTCTTAGCTGATTCATTTTAATTGGATGGAAGCAAACTCCAGTATGTACGCTGTCCTTTGCTGAACTTCAGCTCTAAATGCAGCTGGAGCCATGTGAGCGTGAATAAAGGGGGTGTAATGTGCTGCAACAGATATAAACAAGAGAGAACAATAGGACCTACTATTCTGCTCACTTTTTGCCTTTTCAGAGCAAAACAGTCATACTGGCCTATAGGATAAGATAAGAGAGCAGTGCAGCCTTTACCGAGCCCCATAGAGTGATTTGCATTTAACCCATCTTAAGCATTGGGAGTAGTGGGCAGGCAGCGTGCAGCACCCATGGACCAGCTGCAGCTGTAAGGCATGTCTTGGTCATACTATACTGCTCAATATAAGTTTATCCTTCCTGACACAGTTTGATGGAAAGGT